TGATTCCAGGCACTGGCTTGGGACACAGGACACAGCAACGACCAAGATGAGCATGGTCCCTGTCCTGATGAATCTTAGCCAGGAAGACAGACTCTAAGGAAATAAAGTGTAAATGCATGGTGCTTTGAGAGTTCTCCAGGGATCTGGGCAGAGGGAAGAGAGGGTGGTGAGGTTCAGGGGCAGGAAGAATGTGTTCTTTATTCATTTATTTTTTTAAAAAATTTTTGGTAGCTGGCCGGTATGGAGATCCGTACTGACCTAACTGGCCAGTCTGCTTTATAGAACTGAAGGGAAGCCAGTGTGGCTGGAATGTGTGCTGCAGTACAATATGAGGCTAGGACCTTGTAGCCCAAACGGAGGACTGGACTCTCTCCTACGAAAAAAGGGAGATTTATGGTTTTAAAAGCGACCATCTTTTTAAAAAATTCAAAGTAGTTTAGAGGTGCTCATGGGCAAAGCAACAGTGAAGCACCAATAAATATTAGGTCAGAATCATTAATCCTGGGAAAGCTGTATCATCAAAGTAAGTATTGGATGAGAAATAGGAAGTGTGCCAATGCATCTTTAAAAAAAAAATTCTGTAATTTTCTTATGGTAATGCATTTCTAGTGGAAATGAGCAGTACTGGACATTCAACAGAGGATTAAAAGGTACAGATTTCTTGAAAGCATCGTTTCATTTTATGGTTAATTCTTACCCGAAGCCCAGACTCAATAAATATGTGCATGTTGGTTTTCCTGCTGACAGCAGCTTTCTGTCCGCCTCGAACTGGAGTTGGGGGGAGTAGAAGGCAGCTCTGGGGTGGCAGACGCGGATCTGGCGCAGGGGCTGCTGGATTTCTGTCAATCACAATGGAATGAAAAGTAGGGCAAAGAATTCTGTCAGCTGCATTCCAACAAACTGAATCTAGCAGTAAATAATGTACTGTTTGCTCTGGCTTTTCCTCCTTGACCACAAGACACAGAAGAGATTATTAGGTTGTTGATCAAGGTTACTTGATAATCCCCAGAAACAGAGGTCAGATTGATAAACACACATTTAAATTAAGATGAACACCCAGGACACTCCCTTCATTTGATTTCTGAAAACAAATGCCAAGGAGTATCTTAGAATACAGAAGCAAATTCCAAAGGAAGCTTACTAATATATAAGACATTTAACAAATCTTTTAAGGTCTGAATCTCTGCTTAATTAGAACAAGAGGTATATATTTAAAATCTATCCTAACTTTGATTCAATAAATATTTAAAACAAAATGGTATCAGAAAAATGCCACAGTTACCCCATTCATAAGAAAAACAATCTCACGTTGAAATCTACCATACCATAAAGTAGTATCATCTAACAACTCAGATAGTTTTTTTTACTAAAGCAAATTATTAAATTAACCCTCTTAAGAGTAAGAACTGAATGTCTTGTCAGAAACAATCACTTAAAGAACAGTTTAGTTTAGTTTAGTTGTTTCAAACTTACTTTTCTTTCTCTGTTAAAAGGGGAAGATTTTCACTGACCAAACCATAACTGAGCAATAGAATGGATTCTGCTGTCATTTTCTGATTTACAATTAATCCTGCTATGATTCGGCGTAAAGTTTCATGAACTTTCCGGGCCAGTTTTAAACTCGTGGTATTTTGTAAGATCTAAAGGCAAACATACCCCATAAATATGTACGGTTATTATGTGTCAATTAAAAATAAAAAATAATTTAAAAAAAAAAGGCAAATATAAATATCTTGCAGAGATAACACAGAACTCCATTTTGACTTACTGTAATGGTAGTTTTATATGTTTGCTTTCTAATACATGCTTTTTGTTCTAATTAAAATAATAAAATTTCAAACATAGATATAACATATAAAGTAAAAGTTACCCATAACCTCGACCCCAGAGAGAACCACTGTGAGCATTCTGTGCGCCTCTGTATTTCCTCCACTCCCTCCCTGCTCCCTGCTGGTAAGGCCTCAAGGCACACTGCTGGAGATATGATGTGAGACTTCTAAGAATTCAACTGTGTAAGTGCATCACAGGGGGTGATTTATAGGCAAGCACACACACACAGAATCAATAAAACGTATGGTCACTATTCATAGGAAACCAGGCGAATGAAGTGCTGCGATGGTCAAGCCTCAGGGTTTGATATTAGTTATTGGGCCAAATCAGAAGAACTTAATGGGAACCCAGGATCATCAACCTCAGCAAAATACTCAGCACTTCATAGTTTTATCTTGCATAAGATGCAGTATTAATAATTATTTTTAATAATTATATTAAAAAATATATTGACTTTATTTATAAAAACATTTTTATTAATAATATATTTATTTTTATTTATTTCAATATTATTTATAGGATAAATAATATATTTATTTTTAATAATATTATATTTAAATAATAATTGTTATTATTTTTATTACCTTGGAGGGACAATATAATACACATCAAAGATATATATGTTCTGTTGACTCTTTTTCACCCTCAAAACATATCTAACATTCTTAAATCATGCTCAAATGAAACTAAATGCATTCTAGGAACAATTATGGAGTTCACCTGGCACCAAAACATTTGGAACTACAGTAATTCACATCATTAGATAGTGATTTTTTGCTCTAGTTTTAGTACATAAAACTGTTATAAAATAACATTTATTGAATGTTCACCCTTGCACTAGGTACAGAAAAACAATAGGAATGTGGGTAAATTACAGTCCCTTTTCTCTAGAAAGCAGAATGAACAGTGGAAAGCATGTGAGCATTAGATCAGAAAGATCTGGAACTAAATTCTGACTTTCCTCCTTAACCATGCTCCTTTCTACCTCCCAAGCCTTAATTTTCTTATCTGTAAAATGGAAGTACCATCAACCTCATAGGGTGGTTGTGCAGATTAAAAGAGAACGTAGCAGTGCTTAGAACATAACAGATGTTCAATAAATACCAGTTGCCAATCTGGGAGTAGCAATCTGACTCTAAAGGCTATGTTCTTAGCTGCTGGCTTGATCCAGCTGTAAAATTCACCTGCACTCCAATTCTTGTTGCCTGTCCTTTCACCTCTCATGGTTTATACCAGGGACTTTGAATCTTGGATCAGAGTACCCAACTCAGGGCTGTCACTTAGTGGCCATATGGCATTGGTGCACATAGTACCAAAGGAAATCATGGGGCATCAAATACAGTATTATGGCTTGCCCTGCAAGGCTCCTTTCAGGAACTTATTGCAATGCTGGGATCTCCTGTATTGCATTCAAGTCCTTACCTCTTTTAACGGAAGGATAAGTTTTGTAACCTGATCTTTTCCTACAAACTTGCCCAGGATTTCATAAGAATCATAACTCTTGCTTCTTCGCGCCTCCATGACTTTGGAGAGAATCTGCTTTACTTCCTTCTCTTCAGCAACAGCACCAAACAGCTCATGGTTAAAAATCTTTGAAAGGAAAAGGACAAATGGCAATTATGTGCACTCAGCAAGATATGGTGACATAAGCAATCTTTGGAAAAAAGCACTGGTACATCCAAATCAAAGGAAAGCCAAGGTGGACTGGATTGCAATTAGATGGTGGGAATTTCTATTAGATTTCACTTGTTTTCAATACTGGTTAAGGACCAATTACTAAAACACAAATACATACAGAAACATCTGAAAGTTCATATTAATGGGAAACGAGAAAAATACTTCACTGATGTAGATATATAATTGTATAACTATACAAACAGGAACTTCTTTTTTAATATTACCAAAGAGCAGCTTAGTTTCCCTTCAAGACATTCTCATGATATTTGCAACTTATCAAAATTAACATAAATATTTAAATTGAGATTCAAAATGTTAGTGCCTACATTTTAAATAGATGAACAAAAGGTTATATGGCAGATTTATTCTTGTCCTAATCCTAGCCACCAAATTATTACATTATCCAATTTCAAAAGTTGACTGTTAATTTTCACTACTATAAAAAAACTCCGGCGAACATACCTTAATATGAATATAAACTGCAGACCATATCCCTGATTATTCCTTTAAAACAGATTCTTAGAAGTGGTTGAAACATTTTGCTCATTTCTAAAGGTCTTGATACACAATGCCAACTTTCTTTCCAGAAAGACTATAGCAATTTGTGATCTATTAGCAATGACAGAATACCCACCTCACTTGAGTCTTAGCTTTTTAAACCTCTGTTAACCTAAAAGATGACATAAGACATTATTTTCATTTGTATAGGCTACTATTTCTTATTTTGTGAAATGATTGGAGTCTTTTGCCTACTTTAAAAAAAAAGTGAGATTCCTTTCTATAAATCTTACCTCAATCATTATATCTAAACAAGAATCCAAATCCCCAACTTGGAGCTTGTTGGTGAGGCCTTGCAGCAACATGCAAACAGTGAAAGTTAACACATGGACCTAAAATATAGTAAGAATATGAGTCGTTAAGAATATCACACTGGAAAAATGTAAGATCTAAGAAGTACTGCAAAGAGAGCACTCAGTTTATACTTCTATTATTGCTGGGAGAAGCTTTGAGAAATGACATATACTTATATCACTATGCAAAATCCTTTAACTGAATGATCGTTTTGTACAAAAGATGTTCATATGCACATCACCATACTTAGGATCTATTTATTGTGACAAAACCAGGCCAGTGATTTATGAAGAAAGGCACAAGATTCCTGAACTTTCAAAACCAACCTGTGAATTAAGGAGCTTGTCAATGTTGAATGCAATCAAAGTTGATACATAAAGTGTTATGAAGGAAACACATTAAGTTTCTGCCCCAAAAGTAACCAAGCTAATGTTCAGAGAGCTTATTATGAGGTAGGCAGTATGTGAATATCTCACACACATGGGGGTACTTCAGAAAGTTTGAGGAAAACAGAATTAAAATATAATATGAATCTCTCCATGAACCTTTTGAAGTGCCCTCATATTAAGCCATTTATGCCTCATCCATCCTATCTATGGTGCAGGTGCTATGTTTCAGGGTTTTTCACGTGAGGAAGAGGAGGCACAGAGAGGTCAAGTAACTTGTCCAAGGTTACATGGGTAGGAAGTGGTGGAGTCAGGATTTGGAACCAGATGGGCTGGTACCAGTGCTCCAACTCTGCATCACTAAGCTATGCTGACTCTCAAGCTATTTGCATTCTTTATGTTGCTTCCAGTGCTGTAAAATTGTCAAGGTCAATATCAGAAAATGGTTACAGGCCAAGGAAACACACTTAGTTGCCAATGCGCAGATTGAATCTTAAAAGCTTAGTTTCTTACGTACCTACCTGTGATCTTTAAGTACTTTTACATATTTAAAATGTCTGCTGTGCACTTTATATAATTTTTAAAAGTTTTTTTGGGGGGGAGGGGATGAAGACTGACACTTGACGAACACAATTTTGGTAGTCTGTGATTAATACTAAAACCCAAATTAGTTGCTCTCTTAACCCCTATTTTAGTTATTTTAATAAATGATGGAATAGACTGGAAGAACAGGTTGTTAGAGAGACTAGGGCTACTCATTTAAATAAATAATATCTCAGGTGCTCCTTAAAAATGTGTGAATGAATCCTGAAGGACAGAGATGTATCATATTCACCCTTGTATGCCCTGTGCCCAGCACAGCACCTCACACAAAGCAGCCATGAAATAAATGCTAGTTGAAAGACCAGCATAAGAATAAATTGCTGTCAGTGGCTCTGGTTCCAGAAAAGATGGAGAAAACACATTCTATCTACACCGTCTCTCCACTGAATGCAGCTACAAGACCAGGACAGGATCCACGGAGCAGCTATTGGAGAAGAACACCAAAATCCAAGTACACCAAACTTGCAGTGAGTTTACCCCGTTTTCTGTCCAGTATCTCCCAGCCAACGTGGAAGTGGGCACAAGGATGTAGAGACAACTCTAGGAGAAGCCCCTATTCTGGCTTGAAGAGCAGGAGAGGGATCTCATAATGCTCCAAGAGTGAGGAAATCTACTGTGTTTTTTTATTTTTTCCTGTTTCATTTCTCCATTCTCCTGCACCCTAGCCCCACACAACGCTGTGGTGGTGATGGCAGTGGCCTGGAAATGGGGACTGGCAGGAGCCACAATGCTGTAAGGGGAACCTTCCTCTCCATTCATTGGAACTGCAGTTCTGAGAGGGGGGGGCCAACTCTAGTTGCTTTTATAATTCCACTTGAAGTGGTGAAATATTGATTCTCAGTAGATTAAGTATGTATATGGTAAACCCTAGAGCGACCACTAAAAAATCCTACAAAGAGAAGGAATCAAAATGAATACTGATATTTTTAGTGTGTGAGACTTATAACCTAAAGAATAGGAACCTTGCCTGTTCACACATAGGATATACCAGGTAAAGCTAACTACCAGGAGTCTTGGCTATGTACTCAAAAGAATAAGCTGCAGTTTCCCAAACTTTAAATCACCCGGGGAGCTTATTAAAATGCAGCTTCTGTAGGTCAGGTGTAGAGCCCTACATTTCTAACAAGCTCTCAGATGCTGCTGATGCTGCCTGTCCAGGGTCACACCTGCAGCAGTGAGGGGCTAGATAGCCATGTGACTACTCAGAGGATTTTGCATTCTACCTAGTGCTCTTATTATTTTTATAACTTATGTTTCAACTCTTCACAAATGTCTCTGTTCTTTATTGCTCACATCTGTGGCAATTTAGTCTATACACATTCAACAAGAATTTTATTAAGAACTCAGAGAATACAAAACTTGATATCAAGTACTTTGAGAGAAAAAGAGGAGGTCATATAACCCAGGCCTATAAGAATCTTTGAAAAAATCAGATATAGGAATTTTTTAAATAACAGATTTCTTTAATATTGATCAGAAACTTTTGAATATTGTTGGTTGCTATTTCCGTGGATCACCTTTATTAAAGATAGAATAGACCCAAAGTACCAAGACTTACAGTGTTCAAGCTGCAAATACTGAACTCCAACCCAACTTGAATATAAAGCTCATGATGCAATTTACCTGATACCCACGAACAAGGGTAGTCTGTAATTCTTTTAAAATATACTGTAGGAAGTGGACACCCAGATCTTCTATTATTTTTGCAAGAGTGCTGCGTGCAATGTCTCTGATTTCCTGTGCTCTGTTCTTGAGGAGGGCACACACTTTCAGCAAAATACTAGAACACGAAAAGTTGAAAAATGAATATAAGAAGTCGAAAAATGACTAATCTATAAACAGAAACAAATAAAAATATAAATATCCTTTTGTCTTTTAATTACTCATAGTCCAAACTTCCCAGGTAGGATTCTAAATCACAGCATATTGTGACAGTACTTCACCTCTTCCTAACAAAAGAGATTTAAAAATCATGAAGAAAAGAACCAAAAACCAATTTTTGAGTTTCACTGAACTTTTCTAATTTGTCACACAACATACCTTGGCAGATTAGCTTCCATAACTTCTTGTGGAAGGGACTGCATTAGTTTAACCATGGCAAAAGCTAAAGGAACTCGAACCACTTCCTCATCATTCACAACCTTTGACTTTATAAGCTTGTGTTCTTCTTCCCTTTTAGTCTGTAAGAAAAACTTATGTTAAACTAAAACAATAATAAATGGATCAGGGATCTACGAATACCGTGATCTTGTATTTGAAAGACAAGCTCTTTTTGTAGATCTTAAGCCCATTTCTAAGTGTAATGTCTTTAAAAACAAATTAAATTGTGCAATTTGAGAATCTTCCTCTAAAAATTATAAAAATAATAGGAATAAGAATGTTCAACTTTTCAAAGGAGCCACCAGAAAAATACAAGCCAAGTTTTCACTGATGTGGGTTAAGACTGCTGTGAAATATAGAAAGCACATAAAATTTGTGTCAATTGGGACTTTCAAGTGTTAGTGTAATGTCACTGGTACATAAGAAATATAGTGCCTCAAATAAAGATTTATTTACGAATATACAAAATGACCCAGGCAATATTCTACACCAGGACTTAGCAAACTTTAAGGGCCAGATAGCAAGTATATTTGGCTTTACGGTATCTGTTGAAGCTACTCAAATCTGCTGTTGTAATGTAAAAGTAGAATTAGACACTATGTAAATGAATGGGTAAAACTGATCTAATAAAACTTTATTTACTAAAACAGGCTGCAGCCCAACCCCTGGGCCAGTTTACCAACCTTTGTTTTACACTGAGAAGGAAAGGCTCTGGCTTCGTGAGAATGGACTGCTAATGTTATCCCAGGGGAAAGATAAATTTTGAGTAGTAGACAAGTGGCCAAGAAGTAAAAAAGTAAAACATACTCCAAGTTTTAATAGACTTTTTTGGACATGGGAGTCTCTTAATATCTACTTTGAAGATAGAAAAGGATATATCTACCATATTAAAATCATAAGAAGGAGAGGGCATTACTGCCTACCTACAGCAAGAGATGAGCCTAAAGCAGAGGGAGTAAGAGGAGGGAGGTAAACTGTGAAATGTTGAGATAAAAGGAAATCCCAAAGTCAATCAACAATTGTTAAGAGTCTCAGCTAACAGGGCCACACCAACATCCGAGTTCACACAGACCTGCTGGGTCCCAAACAGAATTATTACCGTAGATGCAAGGCATTTATGTAGCCTGGGTAGGATATCCCCAGTTATGGTTCCATGGATATTTTTAATTGTTCTCTCCAATTCTTCCTTATTCCGAGGAAGGAAAGAGACAGACTTTGTGATACACTCGGATTCCTTAGCTAATATCCCTGCAGAATCAGCTGGATCAGGATTTCCCAGTTCTTCATTGTCGTCTGACAAACTCTTACATGTATTTTCATTCTCTTCTTCATCCTTATGCTCTAATTCCATGGCTTCATGCCCTGGTATCTCAGTCATGTCTATTGTATCTACATTTAGCAAACAACAAAAGCCACCTTAAATCAAATAAGGAAATCATACAGTTGTGCCAAGTAGTCTTTTACACTAACACTCAACATCCAATAAAAAATAAGTGATCACCAACTATGGGCAGGCAAGGTAGTGCCGGTGAAATGGCAAGAAAAGAAAGGGCTATAGATTTTGCTTTCTCACAATTTAGAGTCTAAAAAGGGATAGAGACAAATAAACCGGCAATTATGCAAGTCCAGACTTGACTCAGCTAACAAACCATGTGACTAGTCAATTAACTTAACCCTACTAGATTTTGGCTTCTTCACCAGTGAAATGAGGGTGGCGCCTGTCTCGCAAGGCTATTGTGAGGACTAAATGAGATCTATGATTACCTAAAATATGTGTCTGACACTTCACTGACTTTCAAAAAATGGTAGCTATTAGTCTTTATTTCATTTACTAGCTGTGTAGCTTTGGGAAAGTTACTTTATATCTCTGAACCTCAGTGTATCATATCAAAAATATGGGGTAACTACTACTAAGGTTCTTGTAAGATTCTGATAAGGACAAATGAGATGGCTATAAAAGCCTAAGTAGAAATAGTTAAGGAAATTAAGTATTTTAATTTTAGAAATATTTATGTTTATGCACATTGCAAAATGCATATTCAACTGACTGAAGAAAATAGTGTAAACTGAGGGCCAGAAGATTTCTGTGTCTTTAGCCAAAATAATTAGGATAAATGCCTTGGCCCTTTTGAGTGTTCAATCTTTATTTTTCTGTGCTGGCTAGAATCTCTAGTTCAATGATCAGTGTAAGTAGTAGTAGTAAGTATACTTGCCTTATTCTGGATTTAAAGCAAAGGCTTTTAAATCTTTTACCACTGAGTATGATGTTGCATTAGGTTTTGAAAAGACATCCTTCAATAGGTTAAGGAAATTTCTACTTATTCCTTGCTTTATAATTTTTTTTTTCATGAAGAGATATTGAATTTAATCAAATGTTTTTCTTGTATTTACCTAGATGATCTTATGTATTTTGTATGCTAATATATTAAATTTTATGAACTAATTTTCCAATATTGAACCAGCCTTGTATTTCTGGAATAAACCAAACATTATCATGTTTCAATGCTTTTATTGATTTGCAATGCTCTGATTTGCAAATATTTGGTTTAAGATTTTTCTATTTATATTAATGATTGGGACTAGTAATATTTTATTCTCATAGTATCTTTGTCAGTTTTGGGTACGAAATTATACTAGTTTTATGAGTTAGTTGGGGCTTCCTCTCTTTTAATAATCTGAAATAGCTAGTATAAGGTTGAAATTATCTGTTCCTTGAATGTTTGGCAAAACTTGCCTATAAGACATTCTGTGCCTGCTGTTTTCATTAGGAGATGTGTAACTACAAATTCAATTTCATTAATTGTTAGGGATCCATTTGGATTTTCTATTTTCTTCTAAAGTCAGTTTTTGTATTATAATTTTCTAAGAATTTGTACATCTCACCCAAGTACTCAAATTTAAAAATACAAAGCTTATAACATTATTTTGCCTTTTTCACTTAATTGGGACCCCTTTAAATTCCTAATACTGTTTATTATGCCTTCTATTTTCATTGATCTATCTTGTCAGACATTTGCCAATTTATAATCTTTTCAAATACCTATTTTTAGCTTTGTTGAGCCTTCTTATTGTATCTATTTTATACTTCATTAATTGTTGCTCTAATTTTTATTACTTCTTTTCTTATAGTTTTTATGCACTCATTGCTTAATGCTTTCCACACAAGGAGATAAAATTGGATTTCTATGTAAATAATCTAAAGCTCAGATTTTTCCTTTACTAGTATAATTTAGATTGGCCTTCTTTATAGTTAAATAATGTTTTATAAGAATACTTAATCATCTGTTTTAGCTTCCTCCTGACTCATTAACTGGCCAGTGCTACAAGAACAGAAAAAGGAAATAAGTCGAATTATGCTATCTTCAACTCATGATCATAAATTATCCAAGAATAAGGTGGAAATCTGGTTTAAGAAATTTTTAAAAACTTACTTTCTTCATTCTGAATTTTTCCCATTTGTTGTTCAAGAGTTTTGTGGTCAAAGTGAAATGCTTCTAATACTATTACCAGCAAACTGTTTTAAAAGAAAAAGATCACAGAAATGTTCATTTAATTATCAATATCATTGGACTATTAAAAGAAGAAGAAATTTAAAAACGTATAAGCATAAAAATTATTTTTACCAGTATTTTTAAGTTTAACATGCATTAGCATAACCTCACAATATTAGGTAAAAATAAATTGAGTTTATAGAAAGACTAACTCAGAGAATAATTTTAAAATTACATTTTTAAAAACAAAACAAAAATAAGAAGTTTGGCCATACCTGACACCCAACTTTTGATTGATCTGTCCTGTCTGTAATACATGAATGAAATGTTTCAAGTAATATATATATGCTGACCAAGAGAGATGTTTGCAAATAGCTCCAATAACCTCTGTAGCAGCAATGGTTATATTTTCATGCTGTAAAATAAATCAAGAGCATCACTGTAGAACAAGTATTTGCTAATAAAATACAAGGCTAACACAGTATATTAAAAAGCTTAGACATCAGGTGATCAGTAATTATAGAAAGGAAAGAATGTCCAAGCTGTACTCCATTTTCCCCCCCAATCTTAAAAAAAGTTGCTATCAATTTAAAGAAATGACACCTTCCTTTAAAGGATATTAACATATTTTGGACTCTTTCCCACTCAGACCTTCCTGATGGGTTCTACCACAGACAGCGAATGAAGTAAACTCAATCTACAAAAGTTAGCAAATGTCAAAAACCACATATTGCACTGCTCAGCACTCAAAAATACACTGCCTCAGACAAATCTCTTTCAGGCCTTGATGGAGAACAGGGACTAGATTTACCTTCATACCTTAAACGAGAAAAGTAGACAAAATATATGAAACAACAGTTTCCAGAGTATAGACATCAAACAGAGCAGGACAGTGACCTCTGAGTCTTATAATTATGTCAATCTAGTGCATGGAGAGAATTGTTAGGCTGCAGCACAGGAGGGGAAACCAAGAGAGCCCAGTGGTCTTCCTGAGTGAAAGAGAGAGTTGAGGCTATGGTAGCTAGAGTCCACAGGGCAGAGTACCAGAAGAGAGCTCCACAGAAGGAAAGCTCCACAGAAAACAAGCCCCCTAATTCTGATGCTGAGAATTGATCAGTACACATGAGTAAGGAAAAGGTGGGAAAGGGAACAGGCAAAACAATCACCAAAGACCATATAAGGATGAGAATAGTTCATGCTTCTATCAGCCAAAGTGAAAACCTCACAGCACTGGGTATTCAGGTACTCAAAAAGGTAGCGTCTCAATAGTAGGGCCAAATTAATCCTAGACTAAAGGCTGCTGCTGCCTTAAAAAGTTTAAAAGCAAGCTTCACAAGGACTAGACTATTCACAAGTAACCTAACTACATCTGAGAATAATTCTCAGGAAAACTTAAAGACATATAAATATACCCAGCAACTGGTAAGGTAAAATTCATAACGTCTGGCATCTACTAAAAAATTACCAGCCATTCTAAGAAGCAGAAAAATATATCTAATGAGAAAAACCAACCAGCAGAAAAAGACCCAGATATGATATGGATGATATGGATGTCAGAGTTAGCAGACAAGACATTAAAATAATTGATCTAAGTAGATTCCATATGATCAAGAAAGGAGAGGAAAGCATGGTGAGGAGAGATATGGAAGATATAAAAATGGTCTAAATCAAACTTCTAGAGATAAAAAAGATAGTTCTGAGAGGGAATATATACTGGATGGTATTAATAGCAGATTAGACATTGCAGAAGAAAAGATTAGTGAACTTGGAGACACAACAATAGAAAAATGAAATAAAGTAAAGCTCAGAAAAGAAAATGTCTAAAAAACCCAAAACAAAATAATACAAAAACCTCAGTGAGTTATGGGACAATTTTGAGTGGCCTAACAGTAAACACTGAAGTCTCTAAAGGAAAGAAAGAAACCCAAAAACACATTTGAAAAATAATTGCTGAAAATGTCCAAGTTTGACAAAAACTACAAATCTACATATTTAAGAAGCTTAACAAACCCCAAGCACAAGAATCACAAAGTAAACCATACTAAGGCACATTCAGAATCAAATGGCTTAAAAACTAGCGATAAAGAGAAAATTTTAAAGGCAGTCAGTAAAAGAAAAATATATGCAGAGGGACAAAGTTAAGAATAACTTCTTGTTGGAAACAATATAAACCAGAAGACAGTGAAGCAACATCCTTAATAAAAAAAAAAAAAGGTCAATCTAGAATCCTATACCCAGCAACATGATCTTTCAAAAACAAAGATGAGCAAAGACAAACAAAAGCTGAAAGAATTAGACGCTAGTGGACCCGCATTACAAAAAATTGAAATTAAGTACTTCTGTTAGAAGTAAAATGACATCAGATAAATACCTGGATCTACACAAAGGAATGAAGAGCACCAGAAATTATAACTATGTAAGCAAATATAAAAGACCTTTTCCTTATTTTTAAAGATCTCTTTAAAGATAATTAACTTATATTGTTTCCAATAAGAAGTTATTCTTAACTTTGTCCCTCTGAATGTAATGTACTTAAAGCAAAAATAACACTGATGTACTGTGTGGTTTAAAACTAATGCAGAGGTAAAAACCTATGATATAAATACCACAGAGACTAATAAGCCAACAAAGAGAAAATAAATCACACAAAAAAATCAAATTAATCTAATAGAAGAAAAAGAAAAAAATGGAACAAATGGAAAATAAACAAGATCATCAATTTAAACCCAACCTTCTTAAATATCATAAAATGGCCTAAAAACCAATTAAAAGGGACATTGACAGATTGGATAAAAAGCAAGACCCAGTTCAATGCTATCTACAAGAAGCCAACTTTAAATGTAAAGTCAAAAGTAGGTTAAAAATAAAAGGTTAGAAAACAATATGCTACGCTAACACAACGAAAACTAAGCATAACTTATATTTCCCATCTACACCTCACTTGCATTATAATGCAACCAAACTCTGACTTTGTTGTGCTTACTGGCTTTTTAAACTTGAATTTAAAAGAGCAACCTTTTAACTACTTAGATAATTCTTTTAAACACTTTCGAATATCCTGAAACAAAAAAGGAAGCCTGTTGTCGTACAAGGCCATGTAATCAACAGTATAAATTCAAGTCACAAATCCCAACATTACTGCAATTAGACTTGAATTTCTGTGATCATTTAGTAATACTGTCTTTTGTTAATATGCTGAATCAATAAATCTTTATCCAGTCTTTACTATGTGCCAGGCACTGTTCTAAACAGTGTAGTAAAATGGTTAAAACAGTCCTAAGTTCAAACACTAGTTCTGACTCTGTGTATCTCTGAGAAAGTCACATTAACCTCACCATTTACTCTCCTGTAAAATAGTGGTTAAGAATAGTCCCTACCTCATAGGGTTGAGTTGTGGTGAAGATGAAGTACGATTACGTACTCAAGTACTTAGAATAGTGCCTGGTACCTGGTACTGTGTTAAGGGTAGCTATTGTGTTATTTCATTCTTATAAGCCATTTGGGAAAATAATGACTCTGCTGATCAGTAGAGTTTACCAGAATAAAAGTATGTCATCTTAGTAATGTGGTAATTTCTAGGAGGGGAAATATTTTATGGTTGGCCTTTTTGAGCTAATAGTAGTGAAAATTCAAACAATGCCCACATTTATATAGCATTACAGTGTGCCAGGTACAGTTCTAAGGGCTTTAGAACAATTCTAAGCCTCTAATTACGGTAACAACATGAATATGGATGCCACCCACTCCATCTACATTTTGGGAAGGTGTGTCATGGTATGGAAAGAAGTTTATTGGTTTCCAGATCTAATGCCCTACCTTGAGCATTTTCTCATCAAAAATTGGAGTCATGGCATAAGGCATGATATAATTCTGGAGAGACTTAGAAGACAGCACAACTTTGCCTTCCATCAGCTGTTTTGCAAGTTTCTTCAAGGCTCTTGCTCTTCTGTGGATCTATGAGTTAGATAACATGTGAATTAGTTACTGAATAATCTCACCTACAACCAGCTCCATTTCAGTATCATGTTATTTTTCCATGAAAAGACTAAAGGAGTGAAACACAGTCACGTGTTCCATACGCAAACACCTGTGCCTTTATTTGCTTCCAGACACATAATCCATAGCATTTGTTTAACAATGGATCCCAAAGCATTTAAACTTCTTAGGAGAAGGCAGAAAAAGGTGACTGTTATTAATTGTAGTATGTGATACAGAAATCAGACCCCAGTAAATGATCACCTGACAGGCAAACATGACTAACTATCATGAAGATCAAGGAATGAGAAGCTTTAAACCTTTTGGAAAGTTAAAATATGTCTTTTATTTTTAATTGTTTTGTTTCAATCTCACATCAATAAAAATAACAAATCTAGCAGCTAACATTTATCAAATACTACATGGCAGGCATTGTTTTAGGTGTTTCGCATGGATTGTCTCATTTAATCTTCATAGAACACTTGGAAGTGGTGTTTTTATTAGTCCCTTTTACAGATGAAGAAATTAAGGTTGAGAGGGGTCAAGTAACTTATGAAGGTGACACAGTAGAAGGTGACATTGGTGGAGTCAGGATTTAAAACCCAATTTATTTGCCTAATGAGCTAGTTATTAACCACTCTCCCATACTACCTGTCTAGAAAGATTGCCCTGCCTCCCCAGTAGGTCCCGTCCCTATTATTCCCACTGAAGATATGACAAAGGGTAAAATATGTCTTTCTCAATGAGGCAGAATTGTTCAAAATGCTTATTTTGTAGGCAGGAAAAGCAGAATTGTCTTCTACCTGAATGTGCTTCATGTTCTCAAAGAAGTCCATTTCTGGATCATGGTAATGAGTAAGCTGTACCAAGTCTTTAAATTCCAGTTGATTTGGAAAAGTTTGAATTAAACAGGAAAGTATCGTGGTATAATCCTGTTGAACACTCTGCAAATATCAAGTTGAGGAAAAAAAACACTTCATTTTTCTAAAAAACTTTGTTTCCTTGATAATATGAGGAAACACAAAAAAAGACATAAAATCATTAAAAAAGTACATTTCCCTGTTAAAAAAAAAAATCAAACTATATAAAATCAAAAGTGACTGCTCTCCTTTCCATTCCCACTCCCCTGTTAAAAGTTTTCTAACTATTTACACAATCAAGCATTTTAATTAAATGTACTAAACCTGACTGCTTTTCTACAAATAGCAGAAGTGGGAAAACCAAACCAAACCAAACCTCAGGTACTACTACCTAGTACTTAAAAGACAAAGTTACAGTACCTCTGTCTGGCTTTTCAACCCTTTCCTCAATCTCTCCAGGAGTGAACGATGAATGATTTCTCTATATTCTCTCTCTGTGACGTTCAAGTCAGCTAGCTTTTTAATGATACTCATCAAGCACATGCTGGCATTATCACTTAAAGACATATCTCCTAACTGGAAATAAGAAAAAAAACCCCAAATTATTTCGTGTAATAACTACACTATGTAATATTACTTCCTAGTGAAAGCATCTACAAAATTTTGTCACTGTTCTATGTGAAAATCTCCCCCTCCCCCCAAAAATGTCTTATAAGTATTTCAAACCTAAGGAAGAATCAAATGTAGGGTTATGAAGAATATAATAAATGACTGAAAAATCATGCTTACTGAGAAGCATCAATTTCAGGAAGTACTATGAAATGTATTTGCTAAGTAGTTTTACTTCTCAAAGTAAGCAGAATAAAAGGTTCACTAAAGCCAGTTTTCAATATTCAATATCAGGTAATTACTGAAAATGACAGAGAGTTGGCTGGTGTAATTTTGGTTAGTTGCTCCAGAGTTCCTGGTTTGAGAACTGTAGGTAGTAAGTGTAGAAAAGGTAATCCCAACTAGGCAGTGATTTAGCATTCCTTCTATTGAAATTTGACATAATATATGAAGAATGAGCTCCAAATTGGAAGATTATTTTTTCATATACAGGTTGAATATCCCTAATTTGAAAATCCAAAATCCAATATGCTCCAAAATCCAAAACTTTTTGAGCACTGACATAAAGCTCAAAGGAAATGCTCACTGAAACATTTCAGATTTCAAATTTTCGGATTAGGGTTGTTGAACTTGGTAAGTATAATGCCAATATTCCAAAATCTGAAAAAATCCAAAATATGAAACACTTCTGGTCCCAAGCATTTCGAATAAGGACTACTCAACCTGTGTTACATAATCTTAGTATGAGATGAGTATAAAAATGCCACAAAGAGATGCCACTACACCATTAACAATAATCAAGGGTTTCATCTCCTCCATTTTTGGAGTTTAGTTCAGTTCAGCAACATGGCATTTAAATTAGGTCACTGTATTAGGTAGTATTATCAAAACAATAAAAAATGACTCATAAATTTTTGCTATTAAAAACCTACCTCCAGATTATAGAAACAATTATGCATAACTGGGATTAGGTAGTTAACATCCACGGTTTGCATTTCTTTAATATAAGAGATAATGGTCTGGAATGTTGCAAAGCGAACGTCAAAGTTGATATCATCAAGATGTCTTTGATCAAAGGCGTTAAGCTATAAGAAATGTCATTGAAACCATATAAATGAAGGCATATAAATCTTAAATAAACAAAAATGATAATACTTTTGAAGTCAAAGAGAAATCGTTTTTTCTTACCTTGACAATATCAGTAATATATTTTAATCCATTCTCAAAATCAGAAAGAGTCTAAAAGGAAAGAAAAGAGTACATTTGTTACTGAATAAAACCTTAACTTTTCTGCCCTCCTTTCCTCAGCTCCCCGCCCCCGCTCAAATTCATATAAAAAGATCATTCTTGCACAAAGAAAGCTACTAATATGCTTTACATCTCATAGTTATCTTTTAAAGAAAAGGGTGATTTGGAGTAGAAATAAATATTACTAACCTGAAAAACTGTACAAAGCAATTGTCTCGATAACTTGTTCTTAATAACTGAGAAGAGTTTTGCTATAGGCTTGAGGAAGCTTGTAGGATCCACACAATGTTTTAACAAGTTTTGTACTGTCACCAGAATATCGACCTCTGTATCCTTAAGAAGAAATATTAAGAGAAATCATATTTTAGTAATTTATAAAACTGATCAACTTGTACTTTACAGCACAGAAAATAATAAATTATGGATAAGTAAAAGTAGTAATTGAAAAATTATTTGTCTTCTTAAAGCTTTCAGCATTTTATTTAACGTAAAACCCACAATAACATGCCTAACAATTTCTTCCTTTAATTCTAACAGAGAATATATATGGTTCTTTTTTTTTTTCCTTTTTGTCTTTTTTACTGACCGGAAACGGGATCACAACCTTCAGTGTCGCGCCCGTACCGGGGACTGGCAACGGGATCGCAACCCTTGGTGCTGCGCCCGCACTGTGCTCAGCCAGTAAGCGGGAACCGATCTCCACATGGGATCCGAACCCTCAGCGGGAGCACCGCCGCGCTCCCAAGCGGCACACTCTCCCGTGCACCACTGTGCCGGCCCGAATATATATGGTTCTGACACCTAATTTCTTGTACTGTCTAGTCAAGAAAGAGCCAAC